TAAGCAGGATATTAACTGATGCAGAGCTATACTTGATTCCACCAAGGGGATCCTGGTTCAGGCATGGAGTGAAACGGGCATGTGCCTTCACCTGGGTCTGTACTCTTTTTTCTGTTGGGAGGATCTGCAACCCAGACAACCAGTGAGAGCAGGATGCATCAGCAGCCACTAACATGTTTGGTGCTGTGTGCATGATTCTGGGGGCAGCTAACCTCTGACTTAGGGGAATTTTTAGACTAAACTCTGTTTTCAGGCAATCTTTGTCCAAGGCACCTCTCATTTTTAAACCATGTACATCTCTATTCCAAATGAACTTAATCAGGCTTACTGTGTCTAGGACTGCAACCTAAGTGTTGGATCCTCCCAGCTCTTCTTTAGCAAGGCATGCCTCTTTTTTCACAATTTCTTTTTAAAACATCTCCCTTTAAATGAACTGTGATTGACATGGAAAAAAAATGAAATGATCCTTGAATAGCTCTGTTCCAAACTAGGCCAAACTCTTCACAATTATGGTTTATTTCTACTGTAATATTATGATGTGTCTGTATTTGAATATTTCTTCTTTATCATCTCTAAATATTCTGCTACCATAATGGCAAATGGGGATGACTTCTGTGTTTCTTTTGGGCTGAAATTCCACAGTTTCTTTCCTAAGCATTAATGGTTCACATTTTTTTTCCTGTGGCAACATCCAATATGTAAGTATTTGGAAAAAAATCAAATATTCTAGAATATGAAATAACAACAATATGAAGAAAGACCAGAACAGGGAAAAGAGCAATAGTGTATTTTAATAAAATAATAAAAAGGGGGAGTGCAGTGTCTGTGGCTGCATATTGTGAGGCACTTGAGCAACTCTTGCCATGGGAATCCACACCAGGCAAGCATCTTTAAAAACAAATAAAACATTCCCGCATCTCTACGGGATCTCTAATCTCTAATGAAGGGCCAGTCCATTTTGCTTGTACATACCTATTTGGCAAACTGCTTCTGTCAAGTTTTCTAGTGATAATTGTGCAACTCTGTGCCAATTTGCACACAGCATTCAGAAGGTTCCCCAGTATTCCATTGCACTGCAACTACAATTGTGGTAAGTGTGTGGTTTTTTGTTTGTTTGTTTTATGTGTGTGTGAACAAGGGTGTCAAGGGATTTTTAACTCTGAACTGGGATGCAGCACGCATCCTGTGTGCCAGCACAAAAGGGCAACCTTGAAGCTTTAAATGATATTTATTGGCAGGGCTTGTTTGACGTGCATGGACATCCCATGGTTTCTGCATTAGTCCCTAACTTCTTTGGAAGCTGTGAGTTAACCTGCACAAACAATTTCAACGGTAGAATTAAACATATGTTCCCCCATACGTGAAAAAAGAAAAAAGAAAAGAAAAGAAGAAGGGGGTGGAATGGAGGGAGGAAGTTTTATTTTATCCAGAAAATAATTAAAATCTCATGTATTTTTATTGGTTTGAGTATCCAGCAGAGTGGAAATATTGAAACTTCAAGCCTTCTTGTATTAAAAAGTCACAACTGTTCAATTTTATGAGTTCTGACTGTGTGAAAAAAATGATGCGGACAGCTTTAGAGAGAGGGCGGGGTGGAAAGCTGGGCCTTTGGAGCCCCCGACAGCTATTAAAAAATAATACAATCGCCTATAAAAAAACAACAAGAGTGATATTAAAAATTATGTAGCTCCATAAATGTAACCTTTCGTGGAGGGTTGGAGCTAATCACTTCCCAGCCTCTAGAACAGTCCGATTGCATCGGAAAAACTTTAAGTGCAGTTTTTCTTTTTCTTTCTTTCTTGCTGGGACCTTTGCAGCAGCCCAGGAATGCAATAACTTGGCTGGTGAAACTTCCTTTTAACAAGGCCTATTGCCTGTATAAAATTCAGAAAAGAATAATCTCTCTCTCCTTCCTCTACCTGTTTATTTGGTTCTCACCCCTTGCAATGCAGTGAACTGGGCTTGGATCTCCTTCATACTTGAGCTTCATGTTTTAGGGGTGCTGCTTGTGAAAATGCACCAGTGGAGGAGATGGGCCGATCCTTGATGAGTTCCTTTCAGACTCCTTGTTACTCTGAAGGGCAACTGAGGGTTTTGAATATTCTTTTCTTAATATATGATCCTTGATATCCTCGCAGGCGTGCTAAGTAAATCAAACTACAAATTCCACGCTTCCAGAGGAAAAAAATAACTAATTCCTCTGGAGGGTGGGGGGAAAAAGCACTACCTTTAGGGACATAAATTGAAACAGAAGAAATACAGTCCAAAGCATGGCCTCATCATACACACACACTCCCAATTATATTTATTAGCTACAAGCAAACAAGGGGGAGGAGAGGTGTTGGCAGTTGTTTAAAACTGCCTCTTCCCTAAGAGGAAGCACCCTTCAGTGAAAATGCCATAGAAGTCAATGGAGCTGATTTCATTATCAGTGCCCTTTTGGGGGCTGTGGGATACACTTAATTCTATTTCAGTTCTCTCCGCAGCACCTCTTCTTCTGAATTCTCCTGTTTCTTTCCTGCTTCATCCCGTGTGCAGCTAGGGAATATTTCATGACAACAATAAATAAACGCACAAATGGAACAACTGCCTCCCTAAGCAATCCCCCTGTGGTGTCTTGTCAACTGTTGAAAAAAGATATATATGTGTTTTCAAGTAATTGTCTCCCAATTTTTCTGTAGATAATTTTTCTAACAGCAAAAACTTGGCAAAGGAGGCGTGTGTGGAGCTCTTTATTCAAAAATACTGAATTGTATCCAGAGTGGGAAGGGCAAGTGTTTCAACCAATGCAACGATGGGATTTTCAAAGGACTCTAGAAGAGGAAATGGTTAAGGACAGGTTGAAGACCCCAGACCCAGGGCTACATCCTGCCCTTGAGGGATCACAGCCCTGCTCTCTTTCCCGGGCCAGCCCACTCAGTCTCCCCGCTTCTCAACCATCTAATACAGCATTCCATACACGAAGCGGCAACCAGTTGCTCGCAGGATGGGAGCAAGCTGCTCAGCAGCTTCTGTATGTAGTCATGCCAGCTCTGATAGAGAGATAGCACAGAGCTAGCGATGCTAGTAGCCATTGATAGTCTCTGCTTCCATGAACCTGTCCAATCCCTTTTTAATGCCTTCTAGATTTGTGGCTATCACTACTTCTCGTGGCAGTGCATCCCATAATTTAGCTATACATGTGTGAAGGGGTACTTTCTTTTGTCTGTCCTAAACTTTCCCCCAATCAGTTTCACAGGTTGATTCCGTCTCTGTGTGTAGAGGGAGAAAGAGAGAGAGGTCTTTCTCTCCATTTCCCCACTCCATTTCCTGGCTTTTGTGCATTTCCCCCATCCCAAAAGTTTGAAATACCTCTTCTAAGCCTTAGTGACTGGCAATTAGAGCTGTGAGGTAAATTGTGCTGCTGCTTTCGGTCCCCTCTCCTTTGGTCCCCCTTGGATGTGGCTCCCAGGCTTATCCAAAATTGGCACCCCCGTCTTGGATTAAGAGAAAAGTACCTGTCTTTCTCTGAATGAAACCGGCCCAGTTCAGGCAAGGTGGCATTTCTTGGGAGTCACTTTTTCTTCTTCGCGTGGGTTTAGCGGTACTCAATTGGAAACTGATCGGTAGTCCCAGTTCCCTTTGCTAGCATGATTTGCAGTTATTCCGACACACTGGCTGGAGGTGGGTGGGGGGCGGGGGAGAGAAGAGTCCTGTCGTATTCAGTGGGACCCACTTTCGAGTCAAAGAAACGGCGGGACTGGGCTGCGCATTTTGGTGCAAACCCCGCCGTTCAGGACGTCTTCGAAGTTCCCCTGGACTGCCCGGCGAAGAAGCATGCCTGGGATCGGAGTGTAGACGGAGCCACTCAAATATACAGGAATAGACCAGCCGGTGCCCTCCAAGTATGTTGGACTACAGCCTCTAGTATCCCCTGCATCGGCCTTGCTGGCTAGGGCTTAGAGAATGTGTAGTCCAAAACAGTGGGATGGCCTCGTCCCTACTGGAAAACCTGCTTCCACTAAACCTGTTTAGAAAGAGCTGGTAAATCTTTTGAGGACTACTGTTGTTAATTTCTTTCACGAAAATCCAGTGTTAGCGAAAGTTGTCGTGGGGGTCCCCTTTAATTCCCTCTCAACCGTATTTGTTTTGCCTCTCACCTAGTCCCGTCTTCCTCCTATGACCCTCCAAACACCGCCCTCGAAGCATGGCACGGTTACGGATGCAGACACACGATGGCTATGCCCGACGAGTCAGCCGGGTAGAGGAGAGCCGGCGGTCTGTCAACAGGCTGAATTAGCGCTCGCCTGGAGATGACCCGGCCTCGATAAAGCCATCCCCAGTTTTCCGCGAGGTGTCTCAAGAGCCCCTACGGGAGAGGCAGATTGTCCCAAGCCAATCACGAGCCCCGCAAGGTCGATACAACAGCCGGCGCTAAACTCGATGCCCTCCGGCCGCGTGGAACGGCAACTTCTGCGGAACTACGGCTCCGCCCCAGCCTTCCCGGCCCTTGACCGTTTACACGATATACGTGATCCGGCGTGGGGAAGTTGCGGCCGGGCTATCTGGAGGACGCGAGGCTGGGGAAGGCGGGAAGGGGCCTCTGGGACCATGCGCCGGTGCTGTTATTAGTGCTTGTCACTGAGCCGCCCCCTCCCGCTGTCCTGGGGAGCGACCCCGCCGCATTCCTGCCGACTTTCGAAAGCCGCTCGGGAGCAGCTGGGCTGCCTCGGAGCGGCGTGTGGATTCGCCCGGCGGTTGCGCCGCCCGCGCATGTGGATTGGCGCTGCGGGAAAGGCGGGGGCCGGGGCGTGGCTCCGCCTCGCTCGCGGCCGCCCATTGGCTGCCCCCCGCCCGGCAGGAAGCGGCTCCGCCCAAAGGCGCCGCCAGCTTGAAACCTGTGGGTCGGAGCGCGGACGGCGTCGGGGCGCTGGGCTCGGGCGCGCAGCAGGGCCGGGAGCGGGGCGGCGGGTGCTGGGCCAGCGGCGTGCTCGGGCGCGCAGGGGGCTCCGGGGCCAGCCATGCAGTACCAGCCCCCCGCGCCGGCCGCTCTGCCCCCGCTGTACGCGCCCACCCCGTTACTGCAGCCCGTGCACCCGACGCCCTTCTACATCGACGACATCCTGGCCAGGGGGGCGCCGGTGCCGCCGCCGCCGCCGCCGGCCGTGCCGTCGCCCAACTCCTCTTTCACCAGCCTGGTGGCCTCCTACCGGACCCCCATCTACGAGCCGACCCCTATCCACCCGGCCTTCCCGCACCATCACCTGGCCGCGGCGGCGGCAGCCTACGGGACGGGGCCGTATGGCCCGGCGCCCGGACCCCCGTTCTACCCGTTTCCTCGTGCCGTCAGCGATTACGCGCAAGCTTTCATCCGGCACGACCCCCTGGGTAAGCAACTTTCAGCCCTGCCCGTGTTCGTGGCACTGAGTCTGGGAGAGTGGCGGTAGGCTGGGAGGCTCAAGACCCCTCATCCGGTGTGGCGACCCCGGGGGAAGACTCTCCGCCGAGGCCCTTTAGCCCCGGGCTTCTACCTTGCTCTCCGTCTTAAGTCGTCGACTCGGTGTTCGTTTCACTCGCGAGGTAGCAGGCGCCTTAAGCAGCCGACTCAGCTCTCAAAAATCAAAATCATGGGGAAGTTTGGTTACGCCATTGAAATGTTTAATATATCGTTCGATCGATTTTATATGTATTAAAATTATATCATGTATGTATTATTTATATTGTGTATAAATGTATATATTTATGTATGCGCGCGTGTGTGTGTGTGTGTGTGTGTGTTTAAAGAAAACACCCAGATAAGATTAAAAAAAGACCGAGGAACGTGCAGCGATAATACCAGTGCAAGCACAGATGCCTGGAGTTTGTAAGTGGTTTGTGACATTTTTATTTACACTTTGATGAGCAGATAATTCCTGATTAATTTTTCCAGAATAAACGCCTTCTCAGAAACGGATTTCCTTAGCCCCGGGCTCGGCGCGGTGCACTTGCTGGTCTGCAGGTCCTGGCTGAAGTCACTTGGAAACACCATGTTTCGTTTGTGGCGACAGCCCACTTTGTTTGGCCGTCAAAGTGGTTGTCTCATCTGGTGTGCTCACCTAAATGCAGCCCTGGACTTGTTCATTCCAAAGCAATTCCTGCCGGTTTCCCTCTACTAGGTGACTGTGCAAAGAATTTCTTCATAATTTCAGGGGCCATAGCGTTTTGTTTTATTTTTTAAATTTCTGTTTTTTGGTACAACAGATTAACACACCTGAAATTTGGGGAAACAATATGCAAGTGTGTGTGTCTGTGTAGAGAACTGAAACTGCAACCTGAGGTTGCTGCTCTTGCCATGAATAACTTGAACCCTCAACCCATCAACAAGGGTAGAGCTGTTTATCTTTCCCCGCTGATCCTATGCATAAATATTTGCTTGAAAGGACATTTCAATGAATTTAATGGCAGTGTGTGCATTTAAAAATATAAAGGCTCCAATTCATACTCATCTGTGAGTAAATGAATATCATTTGGTTGGCCTTATGTACCAAGGTGTGTGTCCTTCAGGTGGACTTCTTGGCTACTCATTTAATTGTATCTATCCTATGCAGTTCTGTTCTGTAAAGGATGTGGGGGCGGGAGGCATCGAATGCGTTTGCTAAAAAATGTTCAGATTTGAAGCCATGGGATTGGTTTTCAGGAAAACAGGTTTAAATGTTAGGCAAATGTTGGATGTTGGGTTCACTACTGAGCCAAGGAAGGCGAAGACCGCTTGCCTATTTTTTGCTAGTGCCCTTTTGTGTGTGCTTACTTAAAAGTAGGAGAGGAAAGACTATGACCACTCCAATGTCCATGGTAATGTTGCATGCATTTATTCATTGCATTTATAAATGATAATTTATAAGAAGACGAAGAAGATTGTGTATACTCCCTTGGGCTCCTTTTCTTCAGGCAGCCCGAGATGGTGTAGATAATATGCCTCTTCCTTCTCTGTGTTATCTGTGCAATAGTCCTATGGGGTGGTGATAGGCCCAAAGACACCCAGTGAGTCTCTTGGCCGAGTTAGTGCTAGGACTTGGGTCTCCCCAGTCTCAGTTCAACACCCTGACCCCATGTTTTTGCTTGCTACCCCCACCTAATGTTTAAGATTGCGGGACTGGCTTGAGTTCGTGCAGTCTGAGAGGTTGCCAGCCCTTTTCCGTTCATACAGGATATCTTGAGCTTGTGATAGGAGTAAAATCTGGTTTCAGAAGCTGTTCAGAGCTTTCCTGGCCGCCCAGAGCAGCCTTTTCCCCGGGAGTCGTGCACACTGCAGATTATTTTATCGACATCCTCAATACAGACAAATTCAGGAAACACTCGGCTTCTGATAGCCCGGATCCGTTTTTCTGATATTGTTCATTTCCTCTGTGTGGGATGGAGCTTTATGACAGCTAAAATAACTTGTTGCTTCCTTTAAAAAAATAACCTGTTTTCACCAGAATTACTAAAGCCTGAGGAAATCTAAAATAACAATGTTACAATTTCAAAGGCTCTGAAGAAGGTGGCTCCCCTCCCACAAGCCAGCAGAGAGACCGTTTGAAACTCAGGTGATCCACATGTGTGCTCTGCTTTGTGCTTACTTGGAAGTAAATCCCACAGTGTTCAGTTGGAAGTTATTTTCTTAAGTAATTGTGCCTTCACAAGACTGTTACAAAGCCCTTATCTGAATTTGCTCAAATTGATTTCATTGCCAGAAAGTTAGGAGTCATTTAATCCATTCTGTTTCCACTACCCAAGCTTCACAATTGTTGTGATCCTAAACCTGCTTGCTACTCAGGAGTTAAGTTCACTGAGCTCTGTAAACATGATTAAGCTCATGCTGAGCAGATCTTGTATTTATCTGGCAAATCTTACTAGACAATTCCAAGTTAGGGCAATCTGGTTTGTGCAGTGGATTACTGCAATCCTATACTTGCTTTCCTGAGAGTAAGCTCTCTTGAGCTCAATGGACCTCACTTTTGTGATGAATTATATAAGATTGCACTGTAGGGTGCTGCAATCCTATACCCCCTTACCTTGATAGAAATATTGTCAGGCTGCAATCCTAAATGCCCTTAAAGTTAGTGTGGAACCTTCATTGGCACAGTGTGCTATTTCCCATGTTAGTGTTTCTTAAAGTGGATTTAAGTTAACCACTAAGATTGGGCACATGCAACCTGATGTGTAGGATTGCTTTTCATCTGTGGTGTCTATAACCCTCTGGAACTTTCTTCATGTGTACTAAGAATAGGCCTTATGGATTTTGTTTTTAACATACTGTTTTATTCTACTTGTTTTATGTTTTATTGTTCAGTACTCTGAAATTTCCATCCTGGAATATGAAGTGGTATCTCAATTTTGTAAATAAATACCAATCAGTAAAATAGGACATTCAATTTAATAACAGGATAAGAAATCAACCTACCTTGCAGAGTTTTTATGGAACAGGACAAGACTGACCAAAAATTTCAAACTCAGCTGTTAATTCTGGTTGTGAGATGCTGGAAAACAGGCAGTGTCCAGTGACTGCATAAGCTTCCTGAAAGCATCTAACATTGAAGGCAGACCTAGGCTATAGACTTTTGATCTGACTGGACCAACAAACTGACCTGTGTGTTTTTAACCTTTGGAACAAGCCCATAGTGTATTACATGTTTTTTTAAAAAAATCTAAAAAAATGATAACTAGTAAACTTACAATTATGCTCAGATGGGGATGCAAGTGACTAGTGATTCTCCTTATTTATTTATTTAGGAAATTTCTATGCCGCCCCATTCACCAAAGCCTCGGGGCGGCTCACAAAACATTAAAATGTAATACATTAAAAATATAAAACGAATTAACAATATAAAATAAGTCACCCTAACATTATACAGATGTTATGTTTTTCTTGGTCCTTTAAGGCTGCAGTATATGTTTTCTATCACTCTCTCTCTTTCATATAATTTTATTTGAGTAAGAGCCCAGAAAAAAACTTTTGCTATTGGACAAAACAATGCATTTGAACAGGATTTTGCCCATAAAAGTGTTTTGGCATTGAGGCCTAAAACTCTGTGCTCTGTTTCCTCTTGAATATACAGAATCTATGAAATTTCAAATTTAATTCAGACTACTGCAAAGGAAGGTAGCTTTATTATGATGCAACTGAGGAAGACAGAATTCCATCAGAAAATGATTTGAAGCCACACCACTTAAACTGGTGTGTATCACGATCAATAAACTTGTTAATTTGAAATCTTTAGTGTTTTTTAAAAAATAATTTATTTATTTAAAATGTTTAGATTCTGCCACCTCCTCATATATGCACATAAATAAAAAATATAATTGAAGGCAGACTATTTGACAACAGCTTTGTACAGATTACTTAGATAATACATACAAAAAGCACTGTGCAGCCTCTTAGTATTATTTTTGTTATTTTATTGAATTACACCCTGATCTCTATTATTTGGAAATAACTCCCTCTGGACCTTATTTTTTCTTAAACACATTAAACCTGAAAATAATGTATTGATCCACATGGTATTCACATCTGAAGAAACACACTTATGATTGGGATACAAATTCCAGTTAATTAAGGGTTTCAAGCTTTGTACCCAAGCTCATTTAGACCACAGGGAAGTCCCACTGGTTTAAAAATATAATCTGATTAAATGTATTACTTGGCTGTGGTAGAGGGGACTTACTCCTGTGTAAAAGTGTAAAGGATTGTAGGCTAAAAGAAGCCAATTAAAAAAAGGTACATTCCAACTAATGTAGGTTTGTTTTCTCCTTAAGGTAGAAACACAAAAATCCCCCTCACCACCACCTTAAATCTCACCTGTAAAATCTCATGGGGGTATGCCTCCAATATGCATATTATGATTGGGAGCTCTAGTTTCTTGTGTCCATATAAATGAAAGACGGAACACTCTGCTACTGTTTACTTAATTCCATTGCCTTTGGTAATAAAATTAATTCTACTACTTTGTGCTTCTAACTAAGCACAATTTTAAAAAGAGAGTGTAAACCCATAAATACGCTCAGCAAAGCCCAGTATTAGCAAGCAGAAGAGAATGAGATTGTTTTTCCTTTAAGGCAAATACGAGCAAAGACACTCAGGAAATTTTGTGAGAAATACTTTTGAAAAGGTGTTACTATCTTCTGGTCAGTTTATTGTGAGAGATAGGCAGTTGTTTAAATGACTTTAGAAGAGGATTAGATGCATTCATGCAGGACAGAACTGCTGTTAGCCATGCTGGTTAAATGAAACCTCCATGTAGAGAGGCAGTATATCTGAATACAAAATAGTGCTGCTCTCAGCGGTGGTAGCCTATTTTCCTCATGCCCTGCAAGTTAGTTCCTCAGAGGTATCAGGGTGAGTACTGCTGAGAAACTAGATGCTAGGGACAAAACTGCACGGGGCTGTTTTTGAGGGCTCTGTGCAAAAGTTTTAGTATATCAGGCTTTTATTGTGTGCCCAGGATTCCTAACTCACAGTAGTTTTCAGGGGCTTTACATGACATCATTGTTCTCCAGTGCCTCTCCTGTGTTTTCCAAGCATTTCTGTGGCTTAGTATGAGGATGATGAGCGTTTTCTTAGTTATTACTCTAAAGTGTGCTGAAGCAGAGTGGGTGTTTCCAAAATCGTGCTTCACTGCAGCACCACCTTACGGCTGTGTAGTAGAAGGTGCAGCAAAGCAGAGAAAGAATACCCTGGAAAAAAGCCCCATGTAAAGGATATGCTCTTATCCCACAATGAGTTAAACACCCTGCGTGGAGAAACGCCAAATGAACAGAGGCGTGACCTGTCTTTTAAAATGAATGCTAAGGGAACCTCCCAAGCTCAAAAGCAGTGAGGACTTACTAAATATTGGGATAAACTGGAGGGGGGAGGAATCCCAAAATCCATATAGTGTCAGTGGTCTCTCAAAATCCTGCATGTGAGCTCTGCAGGAACACCTGCCTGACCATGTTTGAAAACAGGAGCCTGGACCTTCTCAAGGGCAAAGGCTGCCGCAGTGATCCCGCTGTGCTTTGCTAGCAGTGCAGGGTGGGAGTCAGCATTGGGTGGCTTCCTTGTACTAGTGCAGTCAGTGCAAGGGAGGGAGGAAGCCTTGGGTGTTGTTTCTTCTTTTTTTGTGAGAGACCAACAGGAAACACATTGACGGAAATGTCACCATAACCTATTGCAGAGCAGCTGTAACTGTCCTTTCTGCTTGTCTGATGTACAGCTCAGAGAAGGCCATCGGTGAAAGTGATGAGAGAAGGAAGAGACAGGCCTGGGAGGGAAAAGGCGCAGGCTACCTAATATGCTCTTGCAGTGTGGCCTTAAAGCCATGGATTAATTACCCAGATTAACATCCGGTGAACCACCTGGCACTCCCCTGGCTTTCTGGTTAAGGGCTCAACAAGCTTCAAATGGCTTAATCCCAAAGTCCCATTTTGAGTGGAATTGACAGGGGCTATTATTAATGGCTGCTTCTGCAATTTAATATCTCTCTCTGTGGAGGGGGGTGGGCAATCTTATACAAACCTAAATTATTATTAGTGGTATTACACTGTGTGTATTTCCTGCCTTTTTGTTCTTGTGAGGAACCCAAGCTGGTTTACATAGCTCCTTTTAATCCCCAGAACAAGACCCCTATGAGATAGGCTAGGCTGAAAGTGAGCAACTGGTCCAAAGTTATCCAGTGAACTTCTGGGTTGAGTGGAGAGCAGAACCTGGATCTCCTAGGTTCCTAGTCCAATACTCTAGCCACTTCACCAGCACTCACTGGGCCTACTTCTGAGCAGTCATGTATAGGATTGTCTTGTGAGAGAGTTTTAAATTCCATTAAGAGCCAGTGTGGTTTAGTGGTTAAGAGTGCAAGACTGGGACTCATTGAACTGGGTTCTAGTCCCCGCTCAGCCATGGAGCCAACTGGGTGACTTTGGGCCAGTCACAGACTCTCAGACCCACTTACTTTACAGGATTCTTGTTGGGACAAAACTGAGAACAGCAGGAGGAGAATGATGTAAGCCACTGTGAGTTTTGTGTAAGAAAAAATGATGGGATATAAAGCTGATAAAGTTTTGGCAGAAAAAGTCCTGTAACCTCCAGCATTACTGGCTGGGGCATACTGGGAATGTTAGAGTTTTTTTCTGACAAAATATGCATAGAACAGCACCCTAAAGGTTTTTTTTAAAAAATGTATTAGAGTTTGATACCAAGGATATGCCACCTCTACATCACTAGATGAATGTGATGAATTAATTGATGATACAATCTAAAGAAGCTCTGGAGGATTTCAGACACCCTTGAGTTCAGTGGAACAGGGACTCAAAAACACAGTCCCATAAACTTGTACCTGTGACTAAGGCCCATGGATCTCAATAGGTTTTACTTGTGAATAGATGTGATTATGCTGTAGGTGGCATGCTGATCACCATTGAAACCCAAAGGTACCATTTAGCGTCTCCTGGGAAATAGTGTGGATCTCAAATCCAGAAAGCTGGGCAGCACCCAGACCTTAATTATTTATTGATTTATTCATTGCATTTGTATGCTCCCCCCACCCAGCCAGAAGGCTTTCTGGGCAGCTCACAGCAATTCAAATGTGTTAACCTTGGAAGAATTACATTTTTCTCGTAAATATTGAAGTTGTATATTGTAAGGGACTGTTTAAGAAAGGTGATAAACTTCATGTAGGTAAAGTAAATGAATGATTTCCATGGGTACAGATATGTTAGTCAATGAAACCTTATAATTGTCATAATAATTAAAGGCACAATCCTAAGCATTTAAGTAAGTCTTTTTTTCCAGTCTGAACATGCATAAAAATATATCATAAGTACGTCAGCCTTTAAGGAGCTACAAGATACTGTTAATCCAAGATCCTGTTAAGGAGCCACAATTTATCATGTTAATATATTGTGCCTTTTTGGATGTGAGAAGGCAAAACCAGGATACATTTACCAAAATGAAATTATCTCAGCTTTTGCAGAGAAATGCACAGCACAATCCTACCCTTGTTTTTCAGAACTCAGTTCCACTTCAGTGGGACTTACTCCTGGAGAAAGTGTAGGAGAGTGGCTTCAACCTCTTCTGAATGTGCAAACCTCTTTTACGATGGCATGTCCTTTGTTGTTTCTGTGTGCTTTCTTGGGAGGACTTCCTTGGTGTCTGCAAAGATTTTCAAGCGATTAAATTAAACAAGGGATACGAATGATCAAAGAGTGGGTGGGCTTCCTGCTCACCTTTCCTAAGTGGGTATTTCAAATTGAGGTGTTGTGGCCAATGCTGGTTCTATTTAGAGTGGACTGACTGGAATGAACTGGTTTTAAGTTAGTCATGACTAATGTTCATTTTGTTGGGTCTGCTCTAAGGACTAGCATTGGATACAACCCTAATTTGGTTCTGCAAAGGTTCACTTTGTGCCAGTTGTCCATATTACAGAATATTGTATGGGGTTCTGGAGGAAGAGAGGGGAGTGAGGTCACTTCCAATGAAACATCACTGGGAGTTGGAAAAGAGTTAGGAGAAAGTAGATGATCTATTGGGATTGCACTGAAGACTGTTCATCTGGTAGAGGGTGTTAAGGTGAACCGAAGGTTGGGCTAATGGGGCAACCTGCAGTTTCTTGTTTACACTCTGTCTGCCTCCTGCAGGAAAGCCACTGCTGTGGAGCCCCTTCATGCAGCGGCCACTGCACAAGAGGAAAGGAGGTCAGGTGCGTTTTTCCAATGACCAAACCATCGAGCTGGAGAAAAAATTTGAAACACAGAAGTACCTCTCTCCACCTGAGAGGAAGCGCCTGGCAAAGATGCTACAGCTCAGTGAGAGGCAGGTGAGCAGTACATAGGTAAACTCAGGGAGGTTTGTCATCTCACAGTTCAGAGATGTTCGTAGGGGATGGGGATGGGAAAGATTTTAATGAATAAATAAAGTAAGTTTTGAACTGAGATATCCCACTCAGGAAAAGTTTAGAGAATGCTAACTTGCCTGCCATCCAGCCCTGTTCAGAGAGGCACAGTAGAGCAATTTGAGTAAACTAAACAACAATCACCTTCCTTTCCCGCCACCTGTTTAAGATCCTTGCTAGAATTTGCATATGCTTTAGAAAAGAGTTATCATTGTTATTATTTGCTGTTTTTATTAATGGGTGCCCATAGTTCAGGAGCAAAATTTGAAATAAGGTTTCCTTCACTTTAAATTGCATGTCACTTTTGAAATAAGATTCAGCACATTTCTCTGAAACAGGAAGCAGCCTTTTTTAAAACAACAGTTCCTAGAGGCAGCCCAACCCTATGTGTGTTTACTGAGAAGCAAATCCCACTCTGTTCTATAAGACTTTCTTCCAAATAAGTGAGTATAGGATTATAGCCTGTGTGCAGTTAGTCATCTCACTGTATTTGAGGCTTATTTAAAGTTGTGTATATTAGAATTGCTGCACAGAACTTTCTATTGATCATTTCCTGTTAATGTCTCTTTCCCCTTCTTCCCCTTAATTTTTTAGGTTAAAACATGGTTTCAGAATCGCCGGGCTAAATGGAGACGCTTGAAACAGGTGGGCACAGATTCCCTCTAACAATTGGCTCATTGAATTTCTGCTTATTCACTCATGGGTTCACTTGATTTTGGATGTCTGTGGCAGCTGATTTGGAGGCTTTCCTCATCTGGGATTCTGGAGTGTTGCTTTTGATGGCACTAATTTTAAGTGCTCCGAAGTATTGACTCTGCTTTTGTGAGATGCGCTGATTAGATATGAAAGACTGAAACTTTCCTGAACGATCTTCCTTCTCACTATTATTTCTGGTGCTTGTTCCTCACTCCTGAAAACACCTCTCCCCATGCCTTCATTTGGGAGAATTACTTACAGGCATGTTTTCCAATGTTAGGGAGGTCAGAAAGAAAACAGCCTTCTGAATAATCCTTTTGACTCCAGTGGGCAGTGACTCTAGTTAAATGTCTCTAGGGATTAGTTAGCCTGGCTACAGCTGATTGATGCTCTGGTACCCTACAGGATGGATAACTGTAATGTCTTATGCTTGGGGTTGGCCCTGAAGACAGTCTGAAAGATACAGGTAGCTGGCAGAATTCAGCAGCCAGAATTGTGACTGGTTTGTGTAGGTGGAACTGCATCACATCCATTCTAAAATAATTTGCATGGGCTGCCATTTAATTTCTGAACCCAATTCAAGGTGCCTTAAATGGCTTGCAAGCCAAATGCTTTAAAGGACACATCCTCCCATACCAAACTACTGTAGAATTGTTGGGTGTGGGCTTTCTCCTGTTTTTCTGAGAGGTGAAGATACTGGGAGAGGGTCTTTACTTTGGTAGCCCCCCACACCTCTCTTGGAGAGTGTTTGTATTGTCACCAACACTATATCCTTTGGGTACCAATGTTTGTTGTCCTAGGGCATTTGAATCTGTTTATAGCTTAATGTTATTTGTAGGGTTTTTAACTGATTAGTAAAGAGTTTTTAATTCCTCTCATTTTTTTCTGGCTTACTGTTTGTATTTTATAAAGGCTATTTTATCTTTGTACAGTTCCCTTGAAACCATTTTTCTGGGAGTGAAGGGCAGCCTGGAAAAAGTTAAAATAACCAGCTTTATTCATAAGATTTTAAAACGACTTTCAGAATTACTCTGTAAGCAGGCTGGGAGATGGTAGTTACATAACATTCATCTGCATGAAAGCTTTAAGAACATTTGCTTACTTGATACTCACCTGCCTCTGATCCCCCCTCCCCCCAGTTTTCTATTCATTCTGGTCATGTTTTTTCCTACACTCCCTTCCCCTTACCCCACTTTTCCAGTTACTTGTCAGGAAGCCAAATACAGAAAAATATGTAATGTTGCTTAGGCAAAATCATGCCCTCCTACTCTACTTTATTCCAAAATAGTTATCCCCTTCCCCCAGTCACTAATAGGGTTAAACGTCCCCATGTCACCTATTAACTTATGTTGGTACCTGAGACTAATGTTGTGCCTAGATGGGAGTAATTCATCCACATTTAAAAAAAACCTATCAATATTATGTACAACTTTTTGATAGCCATGGTGGGACAGCTAGGTGATTGTAGACTCTGGACTTAATAGTCTTTCTGGCCATCCAACCCCTTTAGATGGCAGTGTGCTCGTATTACAATTGTTTCTTCAGGACTCAAGTAAGACAGCCCTATTGTGTTTGAGGGCACTCCAGTTCATTCTGAGGAGCAGGACCCTGTGGGTCTGCCCCAAGATCCCCCCCCCAGGTGCATACCTGTGTGGGAATAACTCCTACTGAACTCAGTGGTGCTTACATCAAAGTAAACACACTTAAGCTGCAATCCTATGCACACTTACCTGGGAGTAAGTCACACTGAAGTCAATGGGGCTTATGCATGTGTGATGATACGATGATACATAGGAGATTGCACAATAATATATTACAAGACTGGGGGCATTTCTCTCTTCTAGTCCAGAACAGATATGCCAAGTTGTCCATGTCTACTATTTCCATGGGGTAGCTTATGGAAACAAATAAAAAAATCTTGTGACACCCTGAGTACTAACAGATTTATTCTGGCATGAACAGCACAAAACTGCTTGTTGTTCATGTTAGCTATGTATCCCTCTGCTTATATATTGGGAAGGAGTTGTACAAGTCCAGTTTTAATTGGGGTTGTGGTTTTTGCCACTGATGAACAGATAATTTAAAGCTCTAGGGTGGCAGCATGTAGTGGTTAGAAAGTGGGCCTGAGACTGGGGAAGTATTTCCAGGTCTCCACTTGGGCATGAAGCTCATGGGGTAACTTTGGGTTGGTCACTGACTCTCAGAATAGCATATGTCACAGAGCTGTTGTGAGGATAAATTGAGAGCAAGAGGAGAACCCCCTAAGCCACCCTGAGTTCCTTGCCAGAGGAAGAAAGGTAGGATAAAAATGTGAGAATACATACAGTAAATAAATCAGGGATGGGACTTTTTTAAAGGTTAAGGGCCACATTCTGCCCAAGAAAGTGACTTGGGCACACACATACTTGTAGGATGCAGGACCAAAACTGAAAAGGGGAGGGGTAGCCCATTTATACTTATCCATTCACACACATGTCCCACTACACACAGTCATTCAGACTGCTGATCCCTACCAAACAAGCCAGTGCCCCATGAAGTGGTAATGGTCAGTGCTGAGATTCACTGAGCAAGCAGTCCTTTTACTTTCAGTGCGTTTGTTCAAATTAATTTCCATGGAGCAAATCCAACACAAAACCCAGATGGACTGGTCTGGGGATCACCTGCATTGTCTCTTTGACTGCTCCTTGTCTCCAGAGTCATGTGGCAGGTCATTTGGTAGGCAAAGAACTGGAAAGATCTTTGTACAGATGGCACTGCTATGGACTTTACTGGTAATTGTATGTACTAATAAATAGCCCAATATACTGTGGAAACAATAATTCTGCCATGGAAAAAGTAGTTTAATGTCTGTCAGCCCCTTCCTATCCTGTCGCCAACCTTGCTTGGTTATCCTAGGAGATTCTTCTCCTTCTTCATTCTGTATTTCCTTTGTTTGCCTTCAGGAGAACCCTCAAGCCAGCAAAAAAGAAGAGCCTGAAGATGGTGATTGTCACCAGGATGCCAGACAAGAAGGCTGCCCGAGTCCTGAGCAGGGTAAAGTGGCTTCTCCTGGCAGGTCACGGTACACCTCATCACCTGCTTCACAAGAAGAACTGGATTCTGACATCTCAGATGACTCAGATCAAGAAGTGGACATTGAAGGTGACAAGGGCTATTTCAATAGTCCCCATCCATAGTGTCTCTCTTGGGGAGAGAACTTCCCTCCGCTTGCACTTTAAGAGGAGTTGGCTTGACAAAACCAATCCCTGCTACAGAAGGAAAAGTTTCTCCTTCGATCTGTTGGGGAGGAAGAAAAGAAAAAGAGGAATCATGTAACTCTAACAGTCGGCATCCTTGTTCCATCCTTGATAGATGGAATGAATTAAAGGAACATACTGTTTTATATATACAAAGACAAATTAACTGATTTGGTTTATATCTTATTGGAAGTGTAATACTACACCTTTCTCCATGAATTGAGGGACAATGCTCCGTGGCCAGCTGAAAAACAACCACAACCAAAAGGAAAATGAACTTTTCAATTTCCAAGGGAGAATTTCACTTTTGGAGCTGAATGCTTTAAGAAAGATGTCACAAAACCAATGGAATGCAGAACTGAAACATGAATTTTGCATGGGGTCAAGGGAATTATCTTCATGAAAGTGAGGAGAGGATGGGTAATAGGTCTCATCAAGGTCACTGTTCTTCATCTAATGAGAACGGTGCAATGTGTGATATGTGGACACTAAATCTATGAGTTCTTAAAGATTAAGGTAGGGAGCAGAAGAAAACTGCCTTCTTTTCCAGCACGTTTTCCATGGTAGAGACCTGAGCAGTCTCACCCTTCCCTGACCTGTTGCTTTGAAGATGAACACACCTATTGTTCACAGTCAGCATAGCAACACTTGGTTGGGGAAGGATGTGTATTTCACTAGACCCTTTGTGGTTTACTGACACATTTTAACTTCACATGGCAAGAGAAAAGGCATGGCCTGAGAGCACATGATGCAGCCACCTTGTTGACACTAAGCAAATCTGCGACTGGTCAGAGCACAGATAGGAGACCACCTAAAAATCTCATGCCTGTTATCTTGAATTCCATGATGCAAACATACAAAGTTGGATATAAATAGAGCAAATATTCTAAGAATTTATATTCTTCTGGCTCTGTGTCAGATTAGGCATCAGGGACCCCTAAGTTTTTAGGTTGGTGGGCACATTTAAAATTTGGAGAGAGTGTTGCAGGTGATCACACGAAATGGCTGCAATGTCCAGTCAAAGTGGCTGCCATGATGAGCATGGGTGTTCACAAAACGCTCATTTCCCAGTAGACAGTCTTATGAGATTAAAAGAAAAGTAACTTGGCCAAGAACCTAAATTCGTACGAGGCAAAGGTGGCATCTGAACTCTGAAACAAATTTTAAGTAAAAATCAGGAAGGACAAGGAGTTTTGGCACATACAAAAAACAGTGTCACACTGGAGAACTCAGGCTAATCTATGTTCATTGATCTCACATAGGTCTATATCCTCTTAGTCTAGCTTTCTTGCAAGAATTTCCCAAACCAGCAGGCACTTGGATGTTCCACCAGGAAGTTGCAATCAGTTTGCTCAATGCTACTCTGTAGCCCCCATGCATAAAGAGAAACAAACAGTGCAGCCTTCTGTGTGTTTACTCAGAACTACTCCTGTTGAGTTCAGTGACACTTCTAGCTAAGTGACTGTCCTGTACGACAGCCTTCTCCAACCTGGCATCCTCTGAATGTGCAGGACTTCAGTTCTCATCATGCCTAGCCAGTACACCATGCTGCATTTGACCATGCTGGATGAAGGATGATGGGAATTGTTATTTGATGCATCTAAAGGGCAACTTGCTGGGGAAGAGTGCAGTAAAGGGGGTTTATAACTATGCAGTCTATCTGGCCATTTATATGAATGCAATATTTTTCAAATGTTTGTATATTTGTGAAGGTTGGACCCAATGGCCTTCTTGGCCCCTTCCAACTCTTTTCTTCTATGATTCCATGACTAGAGCTAAAGGCAATTTGACAGCTAGGCTGTCTGACCTAAAAGTCTTGCCACATAATTCTGTATATGTGGGTATCTGCAGTGTTTAATCAGAACTTGGCTACTTGCTACATTTATTGGGTCAAAGGAAGTGTGTAAGCCAGGCTGTGGGACATTTGCATGGACACTTTAACAAGGCTTGTCTGACTTTACAGCACTGATTTTTCTGTTGTCTGTATTGTTGTTGCATATGCTTGCTCTCTATTTCACATAGACTGGCTCTGATAATTGAGAATTCTGAAACTTCTCTGCAGATAGACTGAAAATAGTTGTGGGAGAGGGAATCATAGGCAAACTCAAGTAGAAACTTGCCTTATACCAAGTCATTCTATCTAGACAGTTACTGTCTGTTCTGACTGGTTGCAGATCATTTGCATCAACTGCTTCCTGGTCCTTTCAACTAGAAATATTTGAGTAGCCTTCTCCAGCCTGGTGCCATCCAGATGTTTTGGACTGCCACTCTCATCATCCCTGGCCATTGGCCATGGTGACCAGGCCTGATCGGAGAAGCTGTTCTCAACATCTAGAGAGCACCTGTGACAAGCTGGTACGTCTTTATCTCCACCCTGTGAAGTAGGACCATGCATAAGAAACCTGTGTTAGCACCACCACCACCCACATAGTGTTTCTAATGGCACCAGCATATTAAATTCTTACTGGATTTAAATATTGACAGCTCATAACTTAAATATATGGGGAATCCAGTTCATGGCTTTTGTGGATGACAACAGAGTTAGATAACATTGGGTGACAATGGGGTTAAAGGTGTTCTGATGGAGACTGTGCAAAAGCTGAATTATTTCATCTTCCTTCACCTCGGATGTGGGGCACATACCTGTGTCTGTTTCAGGAAGCGAGTCTAAGGAACCCAAGCAGATAGTGGTGGCAAGGGATGCATGTTTTGACCTTATTGACAAATTGAAGCTAACACATAGTAGCCATGAAATTTGAAATTGCCAGTCTTCCAACAAAAATATGGAATATGGTCCCTAAGATCAGAGACTAGAAAATGGCCAATACAATGCCAATTTTTCCATAGGGATCCAGGGAGAATCTGGGAAATGACAAGTTGGTTATATTAACATCTGCTCTGAGTAAATTGATAACAGGCACACAGAAGGACAAGCCGTGTTGAAAAAAAATTAAAAAGGCATCCACGTAGGTAAGTTCTATCTCACTAACCATTTATCGTTCTGGGAGTGTCAAGAAACAGGTGGGCAGGGATAGACTTGGAGTTCCAAACGGCCTTTGCTGAAGTCCTTCACCAAGGACTACTGAGCTACCTTAGCACTCATAGAATAAGAGGAAGGGTCATCTTATGGATTGGACTTTTAATTTTTAAAATTATTGTATGTTATTTTGTATGCCATCCTGAGTGGATTCTACCCTTGAAGATGGTTTAGAAATAATTTTAGAAAGATAGGTAAATAAATTGATAGAAAGCAGAGAGTAGAAATGGCAAATTCTCCCAAACGAGTGAAGTAATCAGTAGAATCCAACAGAGATCTGTTTTTTAACTAGTTTATAAATGATCTGTTACTAGGAGTGAACAATGACACTCCCAAGTTTCCACACAACAGAAAATTATTTAGGGTAGCTAAAACAAAAATGGATTATGAGAAGCTCCAAAACGATATCTCCAAATGGGGAGAAAAAGCACTAAAATGGCATATTCAGTTCAGTGTAAAAGTAAATTATGCAAAAGGTTCTCCATTTACATAAGCATTGAGGATAATTGAGCTAGTGGGGACTTACCAAGGAAGAGATCTTGAATTATGGTGGACAGCTTAATAAAAATGTCAACCTAGTGTATGGCTACTGTGAAAAGGGCTAATTCCTTGTTAGGTATATAATTAAGAAAGGCATCAAAATTTATTGCTATCAATTTGTCTCTAACTTATGGTGACCTTATGAATGAATGTCCTCCAAAATATCCTGTCCTTGAGGTTGTGGCTTCCTTTCTCGTGTCCATCAATCTCATTATTTGGTCTTCCTCCTCTTCTCCATTCAACGTTTCCTAGAATATTAAAAACACAGCTACGAATATCATACTGCCCTTATACAAATCTCTTGTGCAACCACACTTGGAAAACTGTATTGATCTGATCACTGCACCTAGAAGAGGATAATGTGGACTTGAGAAATGTGCAGTAATCCTGTGTATATTTAGAAAGAAAAAAACTGGGGAAAGATGGAGGTTGTAGACAGTTTCTACACAGGATTGTACTCTAAAATGATCAAAGGGCTGGAGCAACTCCCCTATGAAGAAAGGTTACAATATGGAACTTATAAGACAAGTGAAAGGGGTCGTGATAGAACTGTAAAAAAATTATGCATGATGTGGAAAAAATGGATAGGGAGACATTTCTTCTCATGCATAATACTGGAACTCAATGGAGTCATCCCATGATTGATGGGAGATTCAGAATAGGTGAAAGGCTACCAATTTGGATGGCTTTAAGGGGAAATCAGACAAATTCATGGAGGGTGCCATTATCAGTGGGTACTAGGACTGATGATGCTAAACTGCTGCCAGTATCAGAGGCAGTATGCCTGTGGGAAGCATGACAAAGGTGCTACTGCACTCACTCCCCACTTGTGGCTGCTCTTACATTCTTCTGTTACGTTCTTATGTATGGGGAAGGATGGCGCCCTGTTTCAGAGCCTCCTTTAAACTCTTTAACAACCAGGTCAGTGTGCTTACCAGGCAGAGCGATGCATGGGAAAGCACTTACAGGCTAGATAAGAGAATTAAGCAAAGTCTGGCTTTCAGTCTAATATATTTTTAAAGTTTCAAGCCAAGGGAAGTTGAGGAGTAGTCAGTTGGTTTTAAAAATCAAACAAATCAAACCAGCTCACTCAATGGTGTAAGCCGGTGTGATGTAGTGGTTGTGGGACTGGAAGGCAGGAGATCTGGGAGGAGGAGAATTATGTAAGCCACCTTGAGTTCCATGGAAGGAAAAGAGGTAGGATATAAATTAAACAAGCAGCTTTCACGTATGAGGAGAGGCCCACCTACGGCTTTGTGGTTGAGCACAGTCCTCTTTGCTATCTAGGCAAAGACGAAGGGAAATCTAAAGAAGCCCAATGCCAGAGGGCAGCTCTGTGAGTCTATTGTAGCAAAAACAGCAAAGAATCTTGTGTTATCTTAAGACTAATCCTATTTTAAAATTAGCTTTTGTGGAATATAACCCCCTCATTGGTTGCATGGAATATTATGGAGTGTGTCTCATTGTTTATACACTACATGGGGTTGGGGTTGGGGTGGGGGTACAGATGAAAAACAGTTAAGAAATTCAGTGCGGAAAGTACTGGTGGTGACAATCACATGAACAGTGGTCACACATAGCCCAGCTTTTGCTGATAACATCCTAGCACTAGGTAAACCAAGTGTTTGGTGTGATAAAATCCATAAGTCAAGCCTCTGACAATAGAATTTAACCTGGTGATGCATTCTAACTCAGCAGTTTTTCACCTTTGCTTCAAAAGAGCCATGTTAACGTCCATTGGGAGCGTCCCGGGAGGCTGCTATTGTTTCTGAAAATGGCAATTTTTGATACCAGATTTGTGACCATTATTTGTCTTGTATAGAAAGGATGAGGGCATTGCTGACCAATGATGGTATATAGATCATATTAGAAGATGAAGAGGTGGATGCACCCACGGTGAGGTGGATGCTGTTATAAAGCCCTGAAATAGTGTTTTCAAAGTAGGCAAGAGGACAGAGCTGGCATCTGAAATGGTTGCAGAGTCTGAACATTGTGTTTATATCCTTGATCTATGGCCTGTTCGTGCTACTAGGTAGTTGCTTTAGGTTGGGGGACTGTCTAAAAAAGTATAGGCTTCTTGTGCAAGTTCTGTGACAGGGAGGGGTGGTTGTCCAAGGGAGGCTGAAGATCATTGACAGAATGTTTGATGGTTTTAGCTTCAAACTCAACAGGACAAGCAGTGTTCTGTGTTCCCTTTTCTCCTCCTCCTCCTGAATTTTGGACATCATGGCTCAGCAATCTTTAGATATGGCTGCTCTAAGCAATGATACTGTATTGCCACCACCTGGGTTCTTTATCGCTGCATGATACTACCATGCTCACCAAAGTCTGCCTACAGGCCAAATCTCCTGAGGAACATAATAGAGGTATACCTTGGTTTGTTACTTTTTGTAAAAAGATATTTCTGGAAAGAGGAAAGGTAACTGGTTAGGGGAAGAGTTTTGGTTCATTGTAGCACCAGGATGGGCAGGGTGTGATAGGGAGAAAACTTGGGATCTTCTGCATATTAAACAAGGTGAATTTCATCACAGAGCCATGATCTTGTCCCCATGGGCAAAGCTTGAGCTTCAGCCAGACTTTATCTTTGCTTATCTTGTGTCGCCTTCAGTGGTTCATTGTTCCTGTTTCTCCCCCTTTAACTCCTAGGAACAAAGAAAAATGAGATGAGGTAAGATCAAGAATGGACAGAGGGAGGGTTACATAGTCAATGCCTATTTTGGAGGAACTTCAGATTTCCCAACATGCTTTTGTGATAATGACAGTGATGATGTAAGATGGAGCAAGGCTTTAAATTACCAAGGAAATAAGTTCTTCATATGCTCAAATGCATTTATATAATTCACACACTATAGAAGTAGGCCTTCTAACATTATAGAATTGGCTCTTCTAGAGACAAGACTCAAATGAAACATTCCAGAACAATCACACTAAAGATGCAGCCCTAATCTCTTTGCTTGAAAATAACTTCTTTTGTATTTACTGGGGCTGTCTTCTCAGTGAATAGGCACATGGATTTCTGTGCACAGTGAGCAAGGAGTAAATTCTAAGGTGGGATTTTGTTTTGAGTAAATAGTTACCAATTGGTGTGGAAGGTTCAGTTGCGTGAAATATGGCAACTAGGCTGCTAACCAGTGCGTAGAACTGGAATCTTGTGACACCTGTCCTAAAAGACCTGCATTGATTGCCAGTTGCTTTCTAGGCTCAATTCAAGGTGTTAGTCTTAACCTTTAAAACCATAGGGGTCCGATGCAATGCAAGTTTAAATGAGAGAAAAGGCCTACAATTCCCAGCTTGTCCCAGCCAACTATGCTATCTAGGGTCTGCTGGGAATGTAGGCCATTTTCCCCCTATCTAATTGCATAAGATCACACCTTAAATGGCTGTGGCAGACCTGAGAGATCACACATGTCTCTGAACCTGTCCTAATAAATATCTGAGGATGCCATTACCCACAAAGGTAATAAGATGGCTTTCACCTACATTCCTTCTGAATGATGGCATGTGTCCCATCAAGAATATATTGTTTCCCACTTCCTTGGACTTGAGAATGTCTGGAGTCATAATTTCAAGTTAGCCTTTGAAATATGTGTACTTTCCATGGATTTAGAGTTTTTAATATTCTTGTTACTGTTTTTGGGTTGTATTGTTTTAAATTGTTGTAACTGTCTTGATGACTTTTTAGTAGATAAAGTGGTATATAAATGTTAATTATAACCTTTCAGTAGTGTATGGGGTTGAAGGAAATTGGGGTAGGGCCAAAAATACAAGCATATTGTAGTTTAAGGGTGCAATCCTTTGCCAGCTTAGATAGAAAAAAAAGACACACAGCTCTCAGCATGCCCCTTCCTCCTGTGCTGTCAGGAGTATGCCAGGAGCTAGAGGCCATTTTTCTATTAAAAACTTGCATAGGGTTGCATGTTAAAGCTCTTACTGCCAGTAACAAAGCCATAAGAAAGGCATTTCAACCTTTCAGAATGGGAAAAACTGCACATAACTGGAAAACTGACGAATGATTGATAGCTGCGGGAACGTGAAGGGGAAGGGTGAATTCCCATCTGGAGAACCCAGGAGGGCCAGATCCCTGAACATAAAGTTCTATACCCAGTCTGCTCTGATCTGTAATGGCTTTCTATGTCTTTTCATGCATCTGCTACCTGACCTTTTTTTTAACCTGGAGATATCAGGGATTGAACCTGGGACTTCAGCATGCAAAGCTGCTGAGTTGGGGTTACTGTTCAAAGCTTCAGTGGGCAGCAGGCTTTAATCATTAACTTTAATCACCCACATCATCAGCTGTGTCCTTCCAAATTCCTGTTATAATGCTGCAGAATATCTTGTAAAGAATATCTGGGCCTGGTTTCATGGAAAAGTGGCACATATCTTTTATAAATAAATAAACAATTTTACCCCCTGTCCCTCTTTTGATGATAAAAATGTGATGTAGCTTAGTAGCTAAGAGCCCAATCAGGAAATCCTCTGTTCAAATCTGGGCTCAATGGCCTAAAGGAAACCACTGTACCTCTGCAATATCAAGATAACAAGACTGATTACCTTACAGCCACTTCCTTTTCAACCTGATGTCCTCTGGATGTTGGACTGCAACTCCTTTCGAAGTTTTTCTGCTGGTCTTCCAGTGGAAGGGAGAGAAGTGACTGAATGTGTCTCTTTTTGACTGATGTCATCACAGTTCAAATTACCTTGTGGCATTATGTGGGAAACTGACTTTTCTTTTTAGCTTTCTTCAAAATAAGGAGGCACATCAGGACTAGCCAAAGTTAGGGAAGGAAAATCCTCACATCTGGTCTTTCTGGTTGGCAAGACCAGGTCAAGTCATTGGCAGGAGCTTTCCTATTGTATTTTTTAATGCAGCGCTCACCACTTCCCTTTTCTACCTTGACATTATTTTGATGTTCCAGGAGAAGGCAGCCCTTTGAAGGGTTTCTTCAGGCATTTCATACAGGCAGCTGTTTTTAATGGGAAAATGTTTAGGAAAGGAAAGCTTCCAGTTTAAATCCTCACAAAACTAGAGATTTAAATCAGAAACAGGGAGGGGAGGGAAGACAGGGATGGGAACACCTTTCAGGTGGGCACTTTTCTAGAAATACAGCATACAATAAGGGATCAGTCAGCAAGCTTCAGTTCTAATTCTATTGTGAAGAGAACAGTTACTTGAAAGTAGGAGCACAGCATTTGTTCTAATCCATCCATCCATTGATTAATGTGGTTTGATATGACTCAAAAGCACAACCCAATTAATCAAGTGAGACTTAACAAAAATTATGTTAGAATAGTTAAATAATTGCTGGGGGGGATGCTTATGTTAAGATAGTGTCTCAGGTATATGTACCTCCAATATATATAGATCAATATATATTATTTGATCTTCTAAATAATTGTCCTTGATGCAATCTTATGCATGTTTAGCAGAATTTCTTGAGGCAAGCTAGGAGCTGTAGAATGTCTTTTGTTTATGCATATATAGGACTGTGCCCTTAATTGCATGTGAATTTAATGCATCTCACAAGATTTTTTTGATAGGATGGTAGCACAAATTTGGAATAAACTGTGATCAGTCCCAGAAACATACCATTGGCATTATTACCTTTCAAGTATTTTAGTCTCTTAAATCTCTAAATTCCTGACCACTGATCATGATGGATGGGGCTTCCCTGAGCTGTGGTCAAAAACATAGTTAGGGAATGAGTGTGGGTCTTCCTTGTTGTGCCTTTAGAAGAGCAATATCATTGACAGAAACTTCTTATTAGCAACTTTCTTTGGTCTGCAAGGAAGGGAAAGATCTTTCCCATTGAATTCCTGGATATTTTCTAAGATTGTATGTTAAGATACTTAAAAAGTTAAATGTCATACTTATAACATGGGTACATTTCCTAGTTCTGCTCTTTTATCCAGTATCAATGAAGTATTGGAGCAATCTATAAGCAGAACCATTAACCATCATCAAATTGAACAGAAAATGTCATAACTGCCATCCAGTTTATTTTTTTAACCCTCCCTCCATTTTTGATATTTACACTGAATTGGTTTGGTCACAAACTTTAAGTTGCCTTTAATTTAGGTGGGAGCACCAGTTTAACATTCCTGTTTAAATCAATGGGATTTTAGGGCCAGAATACACATAATACAATATGTGCCTTTGGTCTTAATGTCTGTTTAAAAAAACAGAAACAGCTACTCAGGGAGTGGCAAGGCTGCTAACAATTAGATCTTAGGAAGTATCCTAAGGAGCATCCTCTGAAGTGGCTATAGGTATTGGGAGAAGCCCCCTGCCCTGCTTCCCCGTTAAACATGCTGTTCTTTCATCTGAAGATGAACCACATGTCTATCAGAGAACTGCACATGGTAGTAGGCTTGGGCCCCCATCTGAAAAGATTTTGCTTGGAAGGTGAATCCTGTTAATTTTTAAAAAGACTTTCTAGGTTCTTCCTCTTGAGTTGCAGCCATTTGATGCCACCCTGTGAATCAGAGATTACAGTCTGAATCCATTTCACAGAACTCTTCCTGTGAAAACTGTGGAAAAGTCATGTTAGGTTGATGGACCTGCTCAGTCTGTGCAGGGGCCATCACAGTTTCTTGGGATTCTGGCAGGGAGGGGAGGGCGGGGGGGACAGAGAATGTGTACTCTAGAGTGATCTTGCATATACAACCAACTTCAACCATGCCGGCTCAGAATGGTGGGAGCAGTAGTCCCAAGACATTTGGAGGGCTCCAGACTGGGAAAGGCTACTTAAGAGTAAGTCTCAGTGACGCTAAAAAGCCTTACTTTCAAGTAGACTTCTACAGAATTATGCCACGTATTTTTAAAATAAAGGATAATTTTAAAACACCACTAAACAGTCTAGATATGATGGAGGTTACAGCCCAAAGCATCTTGAAGTTATTATTTATCATTAAAAATAATGGCATGAGTTGACTTCACATTAAAAGAGGGCCCCAAGGTGACTTACAAAGTTTCATCTGCTCTGCTATTAAAGCAGGTAGTATTAATAAAAACAGATGGAGCTCATGTAATGGTATTCCAAACAACTGAAGACAGGGGGAAACAAAGGGTGCAATTCAGCCAAAGAAAGGCCCCTTTTGAAGGCTGCAATCCTATACACATTTACAAAGTGATCATGGCCCATATAGAAGTAAACCCCACTGAGTTCAGTGGGACTCATTCCCAGCTATAAAGCATGCATAGTAGGTTACACTCTGGCAGGAGTAAATCCCTACTGCACTCAGTGGGGCTTACTTCTGAAGAAGCATGTGACCTGCACCTTTCTCCCTTCCGCACAGGCAAACAATGGAATTGACATAATCGGTACTAGTCTAGCAGGAGGTCTTCTCTGTGCGCTTGCTAATATTTCCAGAGCTGGCAACAAGTAAACCTATGAAGCTTCAAGGGGAAGCAGGTAACTTATATGTCACTGATGCTCCTTATCTGTTGCAGATTTTACTCTGCGCTTCATAGGAGCTATTCATGGTGCACCATGGGGATTAACCTATTTTGGGAATGGAATTCAGCACCATGGATAGCTATTATAAAATCAAAACCACGATTAATAAGAAGCCCCTCTGAAATAGAAGTCACCAGCTATTTGTTTCTTTCCCCGCTGGTGGTGTGTGTGGGGGTTAATACTCCTGGAGAGGAAATAAACACAATCTTCTGGAAAGCCCCTAGGCATTTTACTTTGGTCCTTGCAGGGCTGCAAACAGGATGACCTTTTTTGGGCGGTGGATTTTGTAAACATTTGGACAGTTATGGGAAGAAATGACAAATACTCTTGGCATGTTTACTGCAAAGGCAGGCCCAATCAATTTTATGAGACATTCTCTCTATCATGTATGCTTAGAACTGTTGCCTGCAATTACACGTACCCAGAAATAAACCACACTGAATTCAGTAGAGCTTTCTTTGGGGTAGAAGGTTGTGTTGTATGTTATTGAATGGCTATTGGTCATGCTGGACATGTATTGCCTCCAAAGGCTGTGAGCTGAGGAACATGAGTCAGCAGGTACTCTTGTGCTCATGTCCTGTTTGCAGCTTCCCAGAAGCACCTGGTTAGCCACTTTGCAAACAGAACGCTGGATTAGCCTTTCCCAATGTGGTGCCTTCCAGATAATTTTTTTCCTCAACTCCCATTAAGCCCAACTAGCACAGCTAATGGTTGGGAATTCTGAGTTAGGTTGGGGAAGTCTGAGATAGGCCTTTTGTCTGATCCAGCAGGGTTCTCCTTATGTGCTTATGGGTCAGGATGCTCTCCCCCATATTCACATCCCAGAAAAACTCAGTTTGCCAAGTTCAGAGTCTACATTCACACCAGGGGTCAGATACACACAGACAACCTGGTTTTGAAATCTCTAGTGTGGGAAACAAGACCTGAACTGAAACCTGGTAATTCCACGAAACCAACCTCAGGTTCCACTAGACTTGACCAACCTGGCAGAAGAGTGGAACTGAAATTCCTACTGCAAATCACATGTATGCAGATCTTTATCATGTTGGCCTGCAGTCCTGTGTCGATGAGGCTTCCCTTCACACCCTGCACATGTGTCATCAATATTTTGGTATTTGGCTGGCATTGCCCTAGCACCTTGTCTAAATGTTGAATAGGCATGTGAACAAGTATTTGGGGGCTGCTAGGAGTAACAATAACCATTATACCCCCTGGCATTTTACACAGAAAAAAATGCAGTCAGCTTGTATCATTAGCCAATATTAGAACTTCTACCAATTTTAACTTTTACTGTATATTCAAAGAAAAAACACTTCCATGGCCATACACTTTTTGGTCAGCATTCAAGAGTTTAGAATATCTTGCTCCATTGCTGACCCAGCTCTGCCATTAGACAAAGGGCCACAACCACCTCAATGAGGCAGCTAATTTTGGGTGTCATGAAAGGGTAGAAAATTGTTCTTCATTGTATTTTTTTTTCTCCCATAGAGAGAGGATAACACCCCCCCCCGGGGGTGGGGTGTCCCTGCTGTCAAAATAAGAGGCTGCCTTGTGTACTATGTTTGCCCCTTTGCCTTACAAATCAAAATGTCATAGTCTGGTGCAACTCAGTGCAAACATTAAAACAGTAACAATGATGCTCACCTGGCCAGCTCCTTTAAAGCAAAGGCACATAAAGATTTAAGAATGAATTTTACTAATTGGATTGCCAAAAGAGGCTAGCTTTAATGGATGCTGTAGTTGCAATGTCCCCTAGATGCAAGACAAGAATAAACTTGGAAGCATAGTCTAGTGACTATGTTGCAGTAGCTGAAAAGGGTGAAGAAAACAGGAAGCAGAAGTAGGTCGGAATAGAGGTTGCTGTCCAGGCAGAAGGCCAAACCAGCACCATGTGTCTGAAGGCTATGCAAGGGCATGGAGAGGAATGTTGTTCTAGAAGGCAACTGGGAGACCA